CCACTTAATCTTTTGGGCCTGCCTCTTCATAAAATATTCCAGACCACCTTTAGAGGTCAGAGACCCCAGGAATATTTAAGTATAGAGAAACCATCCCACCTTCGCCATTGCCCCCACTGTCTGCCCAGATTTGGCTTTGAGTTCTCTATGGGAGCGTTATCGTGTGGTGGTTTGCCTTCCGGTGCCTTCAAGGGCTGTGATCCATTCTCAGACAAGGAGGCAGTGAGCGTGATGAACCCAGCGTACCAGAGGGCCCATGAGTACGACGCACCTGGATGCGTGTTGTTTCAGTCCTTTGGCTGGGAGAAGGTTGTCAAATATTCCCGTGGTTGGCTAGGGGTCAAGTACCTGTAGATGTTTTTGTTTTAGCTGTGCTGTATTTGCATTTTTTGTTCGATCAACGGAAAGCCGTTTCTGGACATTCTTCCAAAACTCTGCAGTAGGTACTTCCATGCTTTGGCTTTTGGCCAATGGACCGCCAGTGCAGCCTTTGACTTCGAGGAACTGTTTCTCAACACGATGACTGCGTATTACATCATGCTCATTTGCTGTATGCTGGCGCATGAAAAGCGCGGCAGCCGTGATATGTGGCTGCAATGGCTTCCGCAATGCACAGCCCGCAACATGCTTCGGATGATTGGGCAGCTAGCCACTCGCTTGAAGACATGGCCCTCAAGAGCAGTCATGGAACCATCCAAGACGACAGAAGACAGCATCGAGTACCTTTTCGGTGAGGTGAAAGCTTGTGGATCCAGAGGCGTTACAGGTACATCAAGCACAGCTAACGCGATTAGATCAACTCAGCTGATCCACGCGAAGAGAGCCCAGACCACAGTGAAGGCACTCCGAGTCAGTCAGTCCGCGGGGGGACCGGGATCTTGGGACCACATATCCAACGATATATATTTCAATGTATATATACCAACATGTACCAACGTATCATGTGTAGCCATTTGTAGCCCATTGTAGCCCAATCTATGATGATGATTTACGATGCTGCGACTAGTGACTCGTGATGTTGCCAGATATTCCCAAGATTTTCCAGTCTGAAGCATTTGGTCCAAGCAATCTCCAGGGGTTGTTGCCCACGTTCCACAAGTGACATCGTGTGACATCGGAGGGTTCTTGCACTCCACGCACGTCTCACTCATGTCCGGGTTGTGGATTTTGCTCAATGCGATTCTCCTCATCTCGGATGGGGCCCCTGCTTTCGAAACCTGCTTGCTTTAGTTTGTTGTTTGGACACCCTGATGCCTTTGACCCAATGTTTTTGATAGCTTTATCTATATAAATATATTTGTTTATATTTTATATGTTGTTATTCATTTGGTGGTTCTGGGTGCCGCATGATTCCGCATGGTGTCGCCAAGGACCCAAAAGATGACACAACAACCTCACATCAGCCAGAGGAATGGTTCATTGCTGCAAACCATTGGGGTGAGATTTGCAAATTCGTGGACCAGTATTCAGGTGCACCAGACCTTCATGTTGTGGACATCTTTGGGTACAGCCGTTCCATCGCTAAGGCCTGGAAACGTCGCGGCTTTCGTTCGGCAGCATGGGACATCCGGCTGTGCCCATCAATGGACGCAGTCAGCCGAGCTGGTTGGTTTGGTCTCCTCGGATTGTGTTTACGCCTGTGCCTTGTTCCAGAAAATGTTTGAAGGATTTTGGGAATGCAAGGAAACTTTGTGGATGCTTTTAAAATATAATACAGTATATATATTTTAGTATATTATATTTTTATATAAAGATATCATATACTATTACTATCTATTACTGGGAGATTTTGGCCGGTTGTGAAACTCAGGCTACCGTTTGGCATGTTGGTGGCAGGACCCCCGTGCAGCCTTTTCATCTGGCTATGCTGCAGCGTGCATTGCAGAAATCGAGCAGGATTTGGTCCTCGAGGGAACGAGGAAAATTTGAAGGTCAGGTTGGCCAACTACATATCTGAAAACCTGGCCTCCCAGTTGCAACCATAGAGAATATTTGAGATGATTTGCGTTCAGGATGTCTTTTTTTTGGATTTATTCCAATGGTACCTTACATGTGACAGACCCCTGGAATGTTTTTCACCTGGAATGATTTTTTTCTCTCAAGCAATGAGGCCGTTTGCATCAAGGCTGTCCTGAGGGTCAGAAGTATTGAAGTGTTGGTGGAGCAGCCTGACTCGTCAGCTATGTTTGGCCTTGATGTGTGGCAGCAAATGGGGACCTTGCACAATTTCCAGTTTGTTAAAACCTTCATGGGTTGCTTTGGCCATTTTATGGCCAAACCGTCAGTGCTTTACGGCTCTATGATGAATTTGACTTGGCTGCTTGCATTTGCTTGCTGTCACATGTTGGGTGTTGGATTTTATCTGATTTTCGTGGGATCGGTGTTATCTTGATGTATTTGTGTTTTCAGTTTAACCATCAGACAGATGTGTAGTGACAGGGTCATGGTAATAGTATGTTGCAGAAGATTGCAGAAGCATATGAGGCTTGAGCGTGACCTCAACGCAAAGCAGAAGAGACGCATGCTTCAAAAAGTGACTCGCAACCGTGACAAACTGGAGAAGAAGTTGGGCCGACCTTTGCAGTTGATCAAGAAGTAGCTTAAAACAACTTCAAATATGCTGTTCACCGTTTTCTATGTTGTTCATGTTTGTTCGTCTATTTGTCCTGGGCTTTCGACTTTGGATGGCTTTGGACGATCATTTGGGTCAGGTCATCAAACGGCGTGTCAGGTGGCAAAGACTTGGCACTTTCAGCTGCTTATACGGCTGAGTTTTCGAGCTTGGTGTTCCGGGCATGGTTGCGGATGTGGGCCACGCGCCCCTGCTGAGGGAACGCGCTCAGGGTAGGCATGCCGTAGAAGGCTCCAGGCAGCTGACCGTTTGAATCCGTTTGATCCTGTTTGTGACATTTCTTGAATGGGCGTTTGGGACCAATAAACGCCAATGCTTTGCAATGCTTGGCCTATCTCTGCGCCATTTCGTCAACGTGGCCATATGGCACGGTGCGGCGTTGAGTAGCGCAGCAAAAGAAGAGATCGGGATGATCTGGGACAGTCCAGGGCCATGGTCAAAACAGTAGAATTGTGTTGGTTTGTTTTGGAAGTAACTATACTATACTATACTGTAGGTAGATGCAAAAAATGGTAGAACATAGAAGCGTATAGAAGCCCTTGGTTGATTGACTTGGGTTGATTTATTATTCCATGAGTTGGCCACGTGTCAGAGACCCCAGGAATCAATTCAAACAACAATCCCTTTTATGCAGCAAGCTTTTACAAGGGGACACCCATGTTCCAAATAGAAATATTTGGGTGGTGCCTTAGATGTGCCATACTCCTGGAATCATTTGATCTCTTTCAGTACAGGTGCAAATAACCATGCTACGACTGGGTGCACCTTGGCTGTTTTTGGGGGATTCTAGGGGCAAGATGGGGCAAGCGTTTGTGATCCCTTGGTGTTCTTCTGGCAGGCAAGCACAAACCGTCGGATGACCGAGAAGGACAGAGAGAATTTTGATGGCCTTGCGCTGGATGCCTTGGATGACGCCTGCACTTTGGCTTCAGTGTGCCTAGAAGGGCGTCCTTCTGCCGAAATCAAGAACGATGTGACGGAGTGGTGGGACAATGTGGGTGCTGACCTGCTGTTGGGTCCTCGTGACATGAATGAGGATGAGGTGGACGGGATCAAACAATCCAGAATGGTTTGACATGTTTTTGGGGTTAGCTTTTGTAATTTGAAATGTCTTGTAGGATTTTGGATCTCCATCTCGGTATCTTTCGGTATTCACTCATGAACATACCAGGAGAGCGATGGAGAAGATGTTGAAGATGGCCCTGAGCCTGTTGCGAATGAGAAAGATCCGGACACCGTGAGTGAATCCTTTCAAATGGTTGAGACAGACATGCACCTCACCCGTGCCCTCATCAAAGCCAACGGCGATTTGGAGCATGCAACTGACGCCGTTGAGGTTCCAGACTCAGAGCTTCCCCCAGGCCCAGCAGGTGATTCAGATTCGGAAGTAGATGAGCCTATGCAGAAGGAATCTAGAGTTGATGCAGAGGTTACAACTCTGAGACACATCCTTCAGAAGAGTGGCTTCTCTACCTTCATGCCTCCCGCAAAGGATTCTGAACAGAACGTCTTCAAGCGCGTGAGCAAGCTGAGGCCTTACCTGCATGCGTTTGCGTGCATGGTCCGGGTTGAGGAGAAAATCCTCAGCAAGGCCAAGGTAATTGGGAAGTTGAAGCCTATGCCTCCTCAGCAGCAGTACGAACATGACTTAGCCAACGCACGTGCAGAGTTTCACTGCAGTGCATCTCGGCAATCCCGCCACAGCTTGTGGTGTGATTTCAGCAGCAGGGTGATTCAGGCAGCCAAGACGGCAGAGGAGCAAGACGAAGATGGATTGCCTCACCCAGTGAAAGAGATTAAGTACCTGATGCCAAGTAGCAGCAAAAATGAAGCAGGCCACAGACAGTGCCAGATTGTGGTTATCAGACCTTCCCTGGCAGCAGGCGAGGCAGGTTCATTACGATTTGGCAACTTGGAAATGTTATACTGTACCTGTTTACGTGTTGATTTCATTCAGGTTTATTCTACATGCTTGGACCTGCTAGGACATTTCTCTCCATAATTATTCCACAACACCTTGAGAGGTCACAGACTCCAGGAATAATTACATAAGGCTTTAGCCCTGGCCCTGACACAGTTTATTGAGAGAACCCCATATAACTATTTCACAACTACTTGAGATGTCAGAGACCCCTTGAATAATTTCAGGAACCCTTACCATCCCTTACCTTTCACAGAGCATATACCAAATGAGAACAACCCAATACAACCCAGCAGTTCTCGGTCTTTCTTTCAGGTTGAATTCTTTTATCATTTTCTTTTAGCAGCTAAGGCATGGTGACTCATGCATTTCGAGGCGGCAAATCCCAGAAATCAAGTTCCAAGCAATTCTTGTGGGGCGACGGCGCTTTGCCCATTGCAAATTGCACGACAGTGCACTGCAAGTTGCTGGTGCCACAGGAGACTGCTGACAAGGGTTGGGAGCTGTGCGTAGCCAGTGCCCTGACACCCACCATGTGCCTGGATCCACACAGCGGAGCTTTGTTGATGGAAGTGTCGCCTGGGTTTTTCAAGACCAAGTACGGACCAGACTACGTCCGTGTCTTGATTTCCCACGAGGCTATCAGGGCTGTCTCCCGTGTGATGAAAGCGAACTTGGCCTTTGATAGCAGCAAGAAGGCTCAGGCACAGACCAACACCAAAACATATTTTGGTGAAGAGGATTTCACCAGGAGCAGCTCAGGACTCAAGAACATTGTGAAAGTCTTGAACCAGATGAAAGAAGATTACACCACCCATTGCGGGTCCTTGTTTGGCAAGAACGGCTTCCTCAAGCTTCGCAGTGACATCACAGAGGTCACATGGGAGCAAATTCAGGCTCGCATTGGCTCATATTTTCGCCGCTACGTCAAGGGCCATGATCACTGGAAGAAGTTGACTCCAGAATATCAGGCCATGCCGCAACCTTGTGGCATTCTATTACTGTAATTGTGGTATTTTGTGAATTTTTGTTGTTTGCGTCGGTATTGCTACCTAATGCTACCTAAATATTCTTGACGTCAATGACATCCAATACACCTTTGAAATATTGAGCACATTTTTTGGTGACATGTGACATATGTTGGAAAATGTTTCCATATATATTCCTGGGGTTAGTGAGTTCCACCATACTGTCAGAATATTTTGTACTATACCAAGACTTTATATTTTTTATATTTTGTTTTACGTCATATTTGTTTTGAAATATCTTTTTGGTGTTTTTTAAATATTGTTTGTTCTTGGTCTTCAGGTACGGTCTCCTGGTTCTCAAGGAGCTTCGAGCTGTCTCTCCTCAACCAGGAGACGACGCGGCCAAGTTTCGTAGATGGTTGATCAAAGTCTTTAGAGAATCTGAAGCACCAGTGGAGGGAATGTGCTGATTCTCCGTAGATGTCCGCAGAATTGCAATTGCAATTGCTATAATTTGTGCTTCTCTGGGCCATAGAGCGGTGATGAGCTGTGATGAACTGTGCCACTCAGGAGTTTTGTATAGTTTTGTTTGGTAGTGGAATGAGCTTGGACGTTTTGTTTTATTTGCTGGAACCATCGCCAATGGCTTGGACCAATCCATTGTGCATTTCAGTAGCTTAGGCATGATTAGGGGGTCTTGAGGACTGAACACTGCGGCACAGCACCCGTTGAGCACAGACGTGCGGTGCATTGCGGTGAGGTCTTCACTACATTTCACAACATACCATGGATCTTGCAGGAACAAAGCTTGAGCAGCGCTGCGTGTAGATTTTTGATGTCTGATATATGTCTTTTTTCCTTGGACGGTCTATGAACCCAATTGTCTTAGGATTATTTATTGCTTTCATGTCCAACCATAGTGGAATAACAACCAAACCTTAAATATTCTGCATGTGAGTGAATTCAGGATTATTTATTGAAATCGATGTGCCACCACGCCAGATTAATTCCAAAAATAATCCAAGGGGTCTGCACGGGGGGGGGTCTCCAAGGGCCCCCCCATAAGAACATGAAGGCAACATGACAGGAACATGAACGCAACATGAGAGGAAATTAATGCAACATGAAAGGTAATGAAAGGATAATATTACATTTGTTGACTTTCGGCCAAGGATGCTTTCACATTGACAGAAACCTGGAAAAGTCACATTATTAGTACAGAGAGCCCACCGTCTGAGAAAATCGACAAGAGTAAAGAAAACAATAACACGACTTCGGGACATTGCAATTGATGCGGTGTCTTTATACTACCCCCACCTGTTGTTTTTTCTCCGTGCTTGGGCAGTTTCTTGACTTCAATGTTTGTGAGGGTGGCGTGCAGATTCTCCAAGTCCTTCAACTACTTGTAGGACTTGGGGGGGGTAGCTTCAAGGCGAGCTTCAGTCAGGCCGGCTTGGAGCTTAGCATCCGGACCATGTGTTTCACCACATTTTGGGCTCCACACCCCCTATGGGAACGTGCCCAAGGGCCTCTCCTTCCCCCGGATCTCAGACTCGCGCGTCCCACGTGGATGGGCTGGGGGTATGGAGGCGGAGGAGGCGGAGGCGCCGTGTCGTCCGTCCCAAGGCCGCTGGAGTGGAGGTCTTTGAGGATCCTCCATTAGTCCAGAGCTCGTTGGACACCGACCACAGACGCACGAGCCGCGCGTTCGAGAACGCGGTTACCGTTCCGTTCGGTGAGGGCGGTGGTGCGGCATGTTTTTCTGTTCTTTTCGATAGACGGGGAAAGACATCGTGTATAGTTGGCGTTTTGGTTTGTATGGTAAACATAGGTGCTACATGGATGGAGAGCATCAATCATGTGAAGCTTGCTTTTACTTGTAGAATTTGTTGGGGAATGTGACCATTTCTATGTTACTTTACTATGTTGATTCTTGTTTCCACGCGTGCCTTGCAGCACAGGGCCATGCACCCGGCCATGCACGTTCGACCGCCCAGGTGGCGTTGCAAAACTTGTTCTCCCAACGTTTGACGCCCTGCTGCACCGGGCCCGGCACTGCGCACGGCGTTCTGTCAATCGGGTAAGGTGCATGGACCTTTTTAAATGGAATTTCGACCGCCTTGTGACTTATGACACTAACTCACTGAAAGATCTGAAGGTTCCCGCGTGCCGACTTCCCAACAAACTTTCATTGAAGTCCCCCCTTCTCCCCATTCGCGACTTCCCACCTCTTCCCTCCAAACGCGCCGTGGAGCGCCCTAACTTCTTGCGCCCATTTGGCAGTCCCATCTCGCCGCGGCCTCGAGCCACCGGAGGTGTTTGACCCCGCTGGGCAGCTTCGAAGAGCACCTGCAGCAGATCCTCCGCAACGCCCAGCCGTTCGAGCGCGAGGAGGCGCAAACGTGCACGCTGCTTTCTTCAACGAGTGCCCTGGCAGCGGATCAGCTGGCGTGGATTTGGTGCCGGAAGTGGCCGGCAGGAGGCCCAGTACTTTTGGGCGGACTGCCCGGTTCTCACACACCGAGTGTCTTTTGTTGCTATTTCGAGGGGTATAGCCGTCCCCCCCTCACGATCTTCACGTCACATAGAGTTCACTTCCGACAACTACTGGCAAGAGCTGATTCCTTGGAACACCTGGCAGCCGCATGAATGACTTGGCGACCTCGCCCGTGTTTGTTCATCACCACGAGTGATGCCAGTGAAACATGTGTCAGGGCCGAAACCAGCGATGCCAGTGATAGGGATCAAGGCCTCCCACTATGTTCACCCCCGCGAGCGCGAGCATGTAACCTCGCTTGAGTCAGACGTGCAAAGCTGCTTTGATCAAAGGGACTCAACGGACCTCAAGAGTCAAATGCCCGAAGACTTGGTTGGGTTGGTTGGTTGGCTAATGCTGACACAGGATTCAGTAACCTCCCCCTATTCATCAAGCCCAGCTAGAGCCACCATACTAACCTAATTTAAGACCTGAATTCCACATGTCACATGTCCATCACCCTAATTCCATCCGGTGTTTTTTTGTTGACTTCTTGTTGTTCTACCATAGACTCGACCGATGGGACTGGCATATGTGCCCCATGTTCGTCCCCTGAATTCAAGGGACCCCAAACCACTGGCCTTGTCTCGGCAGTCCTATGGCAGTCCTGTTTTGGGGGCATATGATATAATATGATATATGATGATTGATATACGTGTTGCTTCACGCCAGCGTATCCTATTCGTTCGCTCTTACCCTACTCCTTTGGCTCGTTTGGAACACCGGTGCCGCCCGAGGCTCGCTCCGCGGCCCCGCGGGGGCACCGTGCAGCCGGTCCTCGGCCGGTCCGATGCCCAACGGCGGAGGTTTCGATTGGATCAACCCCCCACGCCCCGAGGCCTTCATGGAGGCTTGAAACCAAGCCGAGTCGACGCATGTCGACACGAGTTAGGGGTTTTGTTATGTTTGTTGATGGTCTCCTGGATGGTTTGTTGATGGTTTGTTGGTTGTTTCTCGATTTCTGATGCACATCACAGTTTCAGTAGGGTGTTTGTTGTGCCATTTAGTTGTTGTTCTCATTTCGCGGTAGGTGGAGTGGTGAAACCAGTGATGTGTCGAGTATTCTGTTTCCACCAGGTTGTTGAAACTGAGCGGAGCTGTTGAAAGGACGAGTTTTTGTCCAGACGCATTTCCATCGATTATCATGAAGATTATATACTGGACTCTCGCAAAGACCCGGGGCTTGACTTGCTTCCACGCAGAGCTGGTCTTGCAACCATTAAGCTAAAACTTCTCTACCACCCAGGCCTTTTGCGACACTCCTCCCTTGGAACACACTGACTGACCGATGGAAATTGGGAGAGTTGTATGAAGGAAACCGTTATTGATTTTGACACTGCACTATCATCGAATCGCAAGTTGCTACACACGCTGGACCCGCGGCAGGGCCGGCAGGGCATGGCAGGGCCGGCAGAGGGACATTGCATTCATTGAGCTCCATGTTACCCGAACAATGGTCCATATTGATGAAGCGGTGCCGTTGTCATGCGTGATCATGAGTGAGAGAGTCTACGCTTAAGATGAATGAAACATTTTGAGATAAGTTTCATGGGCACCAGGTCTTGATGCATTGTGGCCACCAGTCATGTTGATGTTGCACCGCTTGAGAAGCATAAAGCACTGATGTGCCAACGCCGTTTGCTGATGATGGGTTGGCCATTTGCTTGTGCCAAGTGGTTTCCCATTCTGCGGGACGTTTAGCGAACAGTGGGCAGGTGATCGCAGTTGTGCAGTTGATGGTTGGTGTTGTTGAAACATGTGGAGAAAGTTGGGCGGGGCCACACAAAGCCACACCATTCCAACTTGGTTTGCTGTGCTTGTGCGCCAACGACAGCTTGATGTATGTAGGTTGTTTGGATTCTAGGCGGTTAAATTGGAAACTTGCACTCGCCCAGTTGGTCGAAGCCGTGATAATGCCTGGCTATTTTCGATGGAATTATGGCACCCCTGGCTTGACCCAACACGCCCTCTGCAAAATTGGGCCTGGGCAGGGTCCAACACATAGCCTGGACTGGGTTGCGGGTTGGAAATGTCACGGCAAAGCTTGGGAAACTGTTTTGTTGGGGTGGGAAACACATTGTCGATCAACATATCAGCACCCTTTTCCCACGTCGTGTCGCATCATGTCGCATCGTACAATTCATGTGTGCAGTTAGACATCCTATGTCAATAGGGATGAGGTCTCAGTATAGTTGCTATACAGGTACATGCCATATAATTTTGGCTCAAGTGCCCAACCAGGGAAAAAGGAGCTTTAGCGCGCGTGCTTCATGTTGAACTAAGGGCTAGAACGGGGCCAGGGCACACTTTCCATCCGTTCGCAGGTTATCAGCCGTATCCAGACTCCTTTGAGCTGGGTACGTGCTGCGGCCTTACACAACACCATCTAAACGCACACGCATCGGATAGATCAGTTACTCTCAGTCACTGAAGATGGACCAATCCGACGCCAGCACTGCATCTTTTGGAGCAGCTGCTGCGGCCGCAGATCGGGTGAGTGCATCCCACAACTCTAGTCCAGGTACGATCGAAGCGGAGACTCTGACAGTGGTGAGAGAAGGTGCGACAGGTAGAGCACGAAGTCGTTCCCCGTCAGCGCAATCGACACCACCGGGGGGGACACCAAGGTCAGGCCGTAGCCCTAGGGAGACAAGGAGGAGGACTGACACCGGAGCTGTGAGAGTGCTAGCATTGGAGGATGGGTCAACTGTACCAGTGCCGTCGGACAGCGAAGCTGGGGATGGAGCAAGGGCAAGCACTGACAACCTACAACTAGCACGGGCCGATGGAGACCTCAATGCGAAGTGTGCACAACTACTTGCCGAAGTGCATATGTTGAACCACCAAAACGCATGGATGGTCGAATGTGAGCAGAGACAGAACCAGATTATACAACACGAGACCGAAGTCCACGAAGTAGTGATGGCACACCTCGAAGAATGTTATGTCGAAGGATATGGAAATCAACGAAGAATCTCCCAACTTACGGAATCCAGAGACTGTTTGCTCTCAGCAGCACACGATTTACAATACCAGATTGACACTGATCGCGTGGCAATGCGGGATCGTCTCACCCAGTTAGGGGAGTACGCTGATCGCAACAGCGCAGAGATGGTTAGTCAAGTTGTGAACATCGGCACGGAAGAGATCCAGGCTATATCGGCGGAAAGAGATCGAGCCGTAACCGAGCTCATGACTGCAGTCGCAGATGCTGAGAACATTAGGGATCTGTATAGACAGGAGTTAGTTGGACTACAAAGGCAGAGTGCCAGGAACAAACACGAATATGCTGAGGAGATGAAGATGAAGGAAGCAATGTATGCAAGCAAGATCAAATGGTTATCAGAAGAGAATGAGGAGCTCAACAACCGATCCTATAATCAGGACAATTTCATCATGACCATCAGGGAGCAATTGAAGAGGGCGAACGAGGAGTTGACACAGGCGAGGATTCAAGGATCCGGTCGACCGTCTCAACCATCCAACGCCGAACTCAAGAAAGCCGAGGTCAAGGTGAACATGTTGGAAGAGGACATTCTACGTAAAGAGAGGATGCTGAAACGTCTTCAGGAAGAATTGATCGAATCAAGTGCAAGTGAAGCACAATTGAAGGTCGCACTGGAGTTGAAACCACCAGACATGGGATCAGAACCCTATGTGGAGAACGAGATGATGACCAAGCTTAGAGCGGAACTTGGACGTACAGAAAAGTCATTAAGGTCCGAGGAGAAAGAGGCAATGGAGTACTACGAAGGTATGATGCAGAACCAGCAGGACATGATGGAATTCGAAGCGCATGCAGCACGGCTCAGAGATGAGAGGAATAAGTACCGGAGGAGGTACGAAGAGGAGCGCTTGAATGCAGAGAATGCAGCCGCAACCGAACATGGTGCCGCCTCATCCTCTAGCTCGGGTGGCTCCAAGATATCTCGGAAGGAACACGAGAAAATCAACATCCCTGCATGGCCCAAGATACACGACCTGGAGGTTTGGAAATCCCAGGTTGTAGCGGCAGTCGTGACGGCATCGGGCGATGAAAGGCAAGAAGATTGGATCCAGTGGCTCTCGGATGCCTTCAGATCACCATATGACCCATTTCTGCTCGAGACATCAGGTGAAGCAAGATTCGCTAGCATAGACGCTAAGCTAGGTATCACCCTGCATACGATCATCCACGCAGCAGGTGAAAGATCTCATGACGTACAGCTGAAGGTGAGGCAGATGATGCAGAGACGTGCGAGAGGCACAACCCCTGGAATGGTCAAGGGACGAGAAATGTTAGCGTTGATCGTCGATAGCTTCCGGAGTGCCGACAACGTTGATGTGATGTATGCATCCAAGCACTTATTCGATCTAAAGTTCCCTGGGGATAATCAACTATCCAGATTCCTTGGACAGTGGGATGAGATCATATCAGGTATGGATGCGGATGACATGCTTCCTGACAAAGCACTCCGCAATCTGCTTTGGGATAAGATTAAGGATTCCAAAGTTATGGCGTTAGATTTGTCCGTGTACGACAACATGCTGGATAAGGATCCGGATAAAACCTACCAGAAGTTACGAGAGATCATGGCGAAGTGGATACGGAAATCAATCGAGACCACAAACAAGAAAGAAAGGGAAAAAGCCTTTGGGAACCTCGTGAAAGCCACACCAGCGGCGGAGAAGAAGGACCCTAAGGCGAAACCCAAGAATACCAAGGCCGATCCACCGAAGGACGCCGCTCCAGTACTTCCTCAGGCTAATCCGAAGGACCACAACAAGAAGGACAAGAAGCAGGATCGTGGAAGATCAACCACGAAGAGCCCAAAGGGGGATCGTGGCAGGTCAGCGACTCCAGCAGATACGTCCAAGATAGGATGCGCCTTCCACTTCCATGGGAAAACGGATGTTCTAGAGGAGATAAATGCAAGTTTAGTCACCAAGAGAAGCACAAAAGTTCTGCTAAGAAACCAGAAAGCCTCAAGGGTGACAGATCAAAGAGTCCTGGTGGCAGGAGCACTAGCCCTAAGTCAATGAAGGATCAGGTCTGCTGGAATTGGCAGAAAGGATCGTGCAAGTTCGGGGACAAATGTCGACGTCAGCATCACGCTGCTCCTGCTACAAAACAAGAGGCTAAAGGCAAAGCCAAGCCCAAACCGGCTGCGCCGGCCTTCATGCTTTGCGGAGACATCGAGAGTGACGGCGAGGACGTGCAACCCGCACTTCCCAACGTACAACAAGGTGAGCTGGCGCTTCGCTTTAAAGTCAGATTCGATGACCGGGCGAATGTGACCACGTTTACCTGCGATCCTGGTAACGAGCTAAATACCCGTCCCCTCAGGAAGAAGAAGGATGAAGTGCAGAAGGTGGATACCGAGCTCATTTCATCGTTGAGAGCCCTAAGAGTGAACAATATAGCTGCACGAGTAGCACATGCCAAAGGTAAGATGATGGAGCTATACTCTGCTGAACACATTGCCAAGGCATGGATACAAACCACTCAAGATGAAGGGATCGAGGTGAACGTCGACCTGTCTGACTTCAACACCAGCGAGGTAGTAAGGAAGGATTCTGTCAACTACACGATACCAGGAGACATGATGTTCATGGCTGTGGAGAGGTATGATGGACCACCGATACGCTTCATCATGGATACGGGATGTGGACACGACTTGATCTCAAGAGAGAAAGTCAACGCCATGGGCCTTACCACTAAGGAAGGACCCAAATCCGTGAGCTTCATGACAGCAAATGGTGTAACTAGTACATCAGAGATGGTGGACATCAATGTGGACGAACTACCCATGATGTCCGAGGCACACGTGTTGGAGAGCACACCATCAGTCTTCTCCATCGGGAAACGGTGCATGG